AAAAAAAATAAAGTGACTGCTCTTTCCTTCAGGACAGTAGTCAGGTGGCTGAGGTAGAGTTTATTTTTTATAACTATTTGTATCTATTATTCTTATTTCTACAAGTTAGTTATGACTCGTCCTTGTGAAAAATGCAAAACCAAAGCACAATGGAAGAGATAAATAAACAGCCCGTGGAACTCTTCAACCACCCCTCGACCATCAGACCCATTCCTCTTCCCAGAGGTGTTTTGGGTTCATCACTATGGCGTGTATCCTACCATTCTTTTTCTTTTGCACTTATGTATTTAATATATGCATATAAAAACAAGTCGATCTTGTGTTTTTGTTTTAATATAAATGTGATGATGCATTTATGTTCTGCAGATCGCCTTTCCCACCCAATAATATGATGTGGTTCTCTCTATCTAGACTTCCTTCCTTCTTTTTAACTGATACACAGAATCTCGTAATTCAGATGCACTTTGGTTTGTTTAACTATTTCCAACTGATGGACATTTAAGTTTTTCTCTAGTAAAAGAGAAAAAAAGTGCCATCAGGAACTTTGTATACTTGCTTCTTTGGGGAATCCTTTCTTTAGGAGAGATAATAGAAGCAGAATTTCTAAGTCAAAGAAGGATATTTGAAATATAGTTTTGCTTAGTTCAGTGTTTCATAACCTTTTTTGGTTGTTGTTCATTATCATTGACCCTAATAAAAATTAAATTAAACTTAAATGACTAAATTTGTTAAAATTAAAATTCTCCCCTTGGGAGACATCAGAATCTAGGCAATACGATTTTGTTGGGTAGAGTTGAGCTTTGGAGGGTCACACACCATTGTCATAGCCAAAATATTTTCACTTTCAAGAACTGATTTTTGCCCCTACCAAGAACACGTGATTTAGATAAATACAAGTTGAAATCTTTTTGGTTTGTGACCCTGTGGAAAAGACACATCCCTCGGTTGTGTGAGGACTGAAGGATGCCACATCTAAGTCTTGTCACCCTGGAAGCCGTTAGCACCTGTGGCTTGCCTGGAACCCTCGAAAAAAACTAACTGGATTGAACTGAATGTTGCTAATACAATGTCCGAGAGCATTGTCACGCCTGCTGTAAAGCAGAGCAGAGAGACACAGCTAATTTGTTCTCCCTCCTCATACATTAATTAACCTTGTCGAATCACCAGACTCTCGCTGGGTAATTCATAGAGAAAAAAAACATGGAAAAGAAATAATTGGGCTGGAGGCGGTCACTCATGAGAGCTTGCTCACGCATTCCTTTTGTAGTAGTTTCACTGTTTTAGGAGAATGGAATCTGGCCCAGGAGGCTCAGCCTTTGAAATATGCCTTAAGACAAGTCGGGTGACAGGCAAAGCAACCCGTTGCTTTGGTTATGTGGGGAAAAAAAAAAGACTTGATGAGTGACTCTGAAAGAAAGCGAGCCGCTCGGACGCTGGCAAACTGCAAGATGAAAGTCCTGACATTTAGAAATAATTATTTCTAGCTCTGGAGTACGAACCCACCAGTTCCACTGATGTGAAAGGAGGGAGGCTCCAGATACTCACAGGAAGAAGACGAAAGTCACCCAGCAGGGAGGCTGGGAGTAGGGGTGTGGACCCAACTGTTGCCTTGGTGCTTTTGGGGAGAGAAAGGACGCTCACCCCTTCTGTATTTCAGGGCGGCTGAGATCTGATCTTTCTGCCCTGCGCTGGCTGGCTCATCTTGGGCGAATCGATTGGTGATTCTGGTCCCCAGCTGAGCTGGATGAGCTGGAAGCCAAAAGGTTTTGCTCAAATCACTTGGGTGGAGAGATTTAATGTCAAAACACTTAGAACGGCAGCTGAGAGCTAATAAAATGCTAATGTAGGAAGGAAGAGACTTCCTGGAGTTCTAAGTAACATTGTTATGCACGCGCGAATGTTTTTATTTCCATCCTTAGGGTTTCACTTTAACGTGGGTTAGGGGAAAAAAACCCAAAACGACCTGCACATCAAACTACTGATTTCATAGGTCCTATTTACTGTTTAGGTTGTGGCTCCTAAGAAAACCAAATTCATTGTAAATTGATATATGTAAAAATAATACATAGGGTTGTATATGGAAATGGTTTAAAAAAAAGAGTGAAGATGTTTCTAGAATGAATAAAGTTTGAGAAACAACAATGTATGCCATACCTTCCTAGAACTGGCTACACTGTCCACGCTGAGCACGGACCGTCACGGGTAGTTAAAAATCCCTCGCTGTGCCTTCTGCAGCGGAAAAGGAAGCGCAGGGAAAGAACCACCGAGGTTTCAGCACTTTTGTTGGGTGTCTAAAGGACAAAGCACTTCCTCTTAAAAATACTGAAAGGGAACGTTTATGGTGTTCTCACTATGCTGGGTGCTTTCCTAAATGCTCTGTGTGTCTTGTTTCATCTAACCCTTGCAACAACCCTGGAAACTGAATTCCATTATTGTCATCATTTTCCCCATTTTACAGAATAGGACACTGAGGCTGTAGAACTAACAATAAAGAGGGCAGGATTTGAACTCAGACAGACTCACTCCAGGGCCTGTACCCGCCTCTGTGCTTCTTCCAGGATTTCACACAACTCCCACCATGAGGAGTCCTTCCTCCCAGAGCAGCTGGGGGCCTCATTTTTAAAAAGTACTTGCTATTTTTTTTTTAGAGAGATATTTAGGTTTAAAGCAAAATAGAGAGGAAGGTACAGATATTTCCCATATACCTCCTGGTCCCACACATGCATAGATAGCCTCCACCCCATCACTCACTCAGGCAGTGTGCTTGTTACGGTGGATGAACCTAGATTAACATACAATCACCTGAGAGCCATAGTTTACCCTTTCATTCTCCCCCTGGATGATGCACATTCTGTGGGTTTGGACAAATGTATAATGACATATACCCATCATTATAGTATCATACAGAGTATTTTCATGGCCCTAAAAATCCTCTGTGCGCCGCGCTGAGATGGACGCCCAAGATCCATCTCTAACAAGCTCCCAGGTGATGCTGCTCCCGCAGATCCTTGGACCACACTTTGAATATAAAGACCAAGAACCTTTCTTTATGGCAGGAGGCACCTCTCTTGTCCTTCCTCCACTCGTACTGTCTCCGAGGCATCAACTGAGTTAAAACTATGCATGAGGTTCGGTACAAACTCACGTCCGTGGGACAGGATATTTGGCGATTGGAAGGGAAGCTGATGCAGCACGTATGTGTCTAGGGACTCCTCCCTTCCTTTGTCTGCTGGCTGAAAACGAAGCACTTCTAGCTCCTCTCAAAGAGGAAGGCATCAGGTCCACAGAGCACAAAGGTGCAGGCTTCCCTTTCCAGGGAGACAGAGTTTCTAAGACCCTGGGAGAGGATTCAGTATTAGTTTTGGGCCTTGGGCTGCAAAATTGGTTTTCAACTTTATGCAACATTTTGGCCCTTTCCTAAGAACTGTTTCGAAACTGTTTGACGTCCCTGCTCTGGGACGTCTATAAAGAGACAAGCTGTCCTTTCATATGAGCTGACTTGGCAGTAAAGCAAGGCCTGTCCCTTTTGCTGTCCAGAAATTTCCCAAACTTGTGGCCTGTAACCTCTTCCTGTCGATCCTTTCCCGAGATGCCCTTTGAGATGCGAGTCTGCCAGGAAGGCTCTCCCGGTTTGCAGTCAGTTGTGCACATGGTCATAGGTGTGAAGCTTAGCCCAGAAGCCTGAGTGTGCAAGAAACACAAATGACAGTGTATTTTTGAAATTCAATCTAACATCTATTTCAAACGCTTATTTCACGAGGGTGGAAAACATCTCATCTCAGTGAATTTGGGTTTTTTTTTCCTCCTGCTCTAGGATTATATTTAAACCAGGGGGCGCTAGATGTCCCATAGCTTTAATGTAATCGGTTATAAGGGCCTTGGGTGAGACACCTGCCACCCAATTTTGTCCTCCCTCATTGGCCCAAGCGTGCCACCTTAGAAACCTCCTTGTCCCTGTTTGTATGGTTCTCCCTGGCTCTACTCTCACTCAAGATGTTTTCCAAGAAATATTTTGCCTAAGCTGAGAGTCCTTTCCAGGCCCTTAACATCCTAGGCTTTTAAAACATTAGAGCCAGGAAAATATTATTTTTTCGCCTCTGCTTCCTTCTTTACATCATCCCCTGAACCAATAAGCATAAAATAGCTTAGCTGTTAAAAACGGAAGAAGGGCCAAAAAAGAGAGAACAGAAGCTCATAGGATTTGAAATATATTACCTTGCTATAGAATGTAAGGCCCTAGATGAACTGCCCTGTGATTTGTGTAGATCTCAGTGCGTTTTGACGCTTTTCTCACCCAGTACATATTTTAATGATCCTGTAACTCTCCTAAAAGCTCGCCTTCACATTTGTCCTTCTTTCTTCAAGTTCACCCCATGTCTGCCAAAGAAGTGTGGGATCCGGAGAGGTGGGAAATCCAGAGCCCGAGGAGGAAGGAGAGTAATAGAACCCACCTGAGAACTTTGCTGGGTTTTGCTTTCGAAAATGTGACTTGGCCCAACCTATGTGCGTTTGTAGAGAGGTGAGATAAGCTAATTAATTCAATTCAATTAATTGAGACAATACTGGTGGCAAGTTCGCTGTACTGTGTGCTCTAACTGGGTGGACGTTAAGGACATCAGCTTCGGAGTGAGAAAGCCCACCTGTGATTTCTGGCTCCGACACTGCCTACCTGGTTGGCCTGGGGCAAGCTACTCAACCTCGCCAGTTTTTAAAACGGGGGTAACGTGAGTACAGTCAGCCTTCTGTACCAGCGGATTTCGCATCTGCAGATTCAACCCACTGAGGATTTTCAACCACGAAATTTCTGTCTGAGGTTGGTTGAATCTGCTGATGTGAAACCCAGAGGATGCTGAGGGCTGACTGTATTCACTGTAGGGCAGGCATTTTATATGAGGAACTTGAGCGTCCGTGGATTTTGGTACCCACGAGGGCTCTTGGATCACCCAGGGATGCCAAGGGATGCTGTATGAGTTAGGACTATTTAAATGTTTGAATGAGATATTATGCATGCTAAGAGTTTGGGACAATGAATGCCTGGCCTTTGGCAAACACAGAATAAACGTTAACATATAATAATCATCATACAAATAGGGTTGGTTTTCTGAAAACTTCCCCCTTTGTAGTTATCATCAAGGAGTCTTTTGTTTAGTCCTTGTTTGTGAAGATGGAAAAAACCCAAGAGGCACTAAGACTTTAATTTAACTATGTTTAAGGTCTGAAAGCAGGCAAAGCATCTGATGTAGACTCGCTGGCCTTTCTTTCACCGTGGAAATTCTGGCTCTAACATACTTTTTTGGAGCGTGTTAATTTAGCAAACCTAAGGCCCTGGTTTTAATATACAAGATTTGAAGCATGGCTAATTGTAAAATATTTCCAAATGCTTGTAGTGAGAAGACTATGTTGGGCTGTACCTGTCAACATCATGACGGACTGTATCCAAAAAGCAGGACATATGATTTGGAGTTGGCAAAGGAAAGGAAGTTTTCACCCTAAACACACCGCTCATTTAAGTAATTGAAGCTGGATATTCATAAGCTGCAAAGCTCTAGACAGGTTTTCACAAGCCCATGAGCAAGGACTGATAAAATTCACAGTGCTCTAAGCTGAGTCTCATCATTGGAGACTTCATACATATGGAGGAGTCTCTGTCTGCTGTCATGAGCATGATTTCTGGGCCTCTGCTCCAACTTTATGGACTCCTTTTATCCGGGAACCTAAGCTTTGGAATGACAAACATCTCCCAGCCTCTGAGTTCCAACTCAGATTGGTTGCTATTATGTCACCCAGCTAATCCTCTTAGGATGTCTCCACGGAGCCCCTCTTTCCATCTACAGACTCTCTTTCACTTCTTGAATGTTCCCTTCATCCTTATTGCCACCTTTGCTTTTTTCCTTCTAGCCCGCTCTTCAATAAAACATCCCAGACAGTAACCAGTATCATCTGGCATGGCACAAGCTCTATCTCTGTGTAGTAGGATAACACGCTACCTCTTTCCAAGGGAAGAGTTTGGAATTTTAGTCCTGCTTCTACCCATCTCACTAGAAGATAACCATATCTGTTTCTATAAGTTGCAGAAGAATAGCGTAAGAGGAGAATGAAGCAGGGAATTTTGCTTCTGGGCAAAGATGTGAATAAATTTTAATAATATTGATTCGATAGGCAATAGTAACAATGCACTGCGGGGTCTTGAAACAGATTTAGAATTCAAATAAAGAACAATAGGAGCATTAAGTAGGAAGGGGGTAAATGGAGTTCAAGTATTCTAAGGTCTCTGCATTGCCCAGAAGGGGGTAAAGCCATCAGTTAGCATCATGCTTTGATAAGTCAAGGTGCATATTGTAATTTCTGAGTAGCATTAAAAGAATGGTAAATGCATGTACAACCTCTGTGCTAATAGAGAAAAGGTGGAATAATAAAAAAAAAAGTTTAATCCAAAACAAAGAAAACACAAAAAAGGACCAAAGAACAGATGAAACAAATACAGTAGATGGTCATTTTATCTAGTTGACAGTGTATCTAATGTTATGGGCTGAACTGTTTCTCTGAAAAATTAATGGGTTGAAGTTCTACCTCCAATACCTAAGAATGTGACTGGATTTGGCGATTGGGCCTTTAAAGAGGTTATTAAGGCTAAATGAGGTTATTACAGTGACCCCTAATCCAATATAATTGATCTCCTTATGAGAAGAACTTAGGACTGAGGTACATACAGAGGAAAGGCCACATGAGGTCAGAGGGAGAAGATGACTGTCTACAAGCCAAGGAGAGAGGCCTCAGAAGAATTCAGTCTCTCTGAAACCTTGAGCTTGGATCTCTAGCTTCTAGAACTGTGAGAAAATGAGCTTCTGTTCTTTAAACCTTCCAACGTGTGGTGTTTTGTTTTGGCAGACACAGCAAACTACTACAACGATCTAGATATAATAGTGTTTACACTAAATGTAAATGGAACCATATACTCCATTTAAAAGACACAGACTGTTAACTGAGAATTAAAGAAGCCCGTCTACATGCTGGTTACGAGAGACACGTGATCTAATTTAACTTTAATTATCTCTTTATAGCAAAGCCACAAGAATACGGAAAGGTTAAAGTAAAAGAGTGAAAAAATATATATACCAAGCAAACTCTAAACCCAAAGAAATTTGGTATAGCTATGTAGAGATTAAAAGATGCTGATTTTATGGCAAGAATATTGGTAGAGATAAAGTGGGTACTTCATAATGAGAGAAAGTTCAATTCGCCAAGAAGATGTAGGATTTCTAAATTTGTATGCATCTAATAGTATGGCATCAAGGTATACAAGGCAAAAATGGATAGAACCACAGTTGTTTTGGAAGATTTTATCACCATCTCAGTAACTGATAAAATATGTAGATTAAAAACCCAACAACAATATACAAAATTTGAATAATACAATCAATAGATTTGATCTAAGGACATGTAAAGAACATTACAGCCAACAACTAAAAGAAAATACACATTTATTTCAAGCACACAGTAAAAGTTGACTATATGTGGAAAAAAATAGGAAGTCTTGTCAAATTTCAGTAATGCTAACCATACAGTGTTTGATTTCTAAACAAAATTCAATTAAGTTAAAAATCAATAACAACAAATGGTGCTGGAATATCCACATGCAAAAAGTGAACTTCAACTTGTATATCACATCATACACAAAAATTAATTTGAAATAGATAAAAGCTAAAACTATAAAAGTTCTAAAAGAACTCATGGGAGAAAATTTTCATGGCTGTAGGGTAAGCAAACATTTATTAGATAAGATACAAAAAGGCACGAGTCAAAAAAATTAATATATTGGACTCCATCAAAATGTAAAACTTTTAATTAAAAAGACACTCAAAATGAAGAGGCAAGACAAGCTATAGATTCAGAGAAAATATTTCCAATACATATGTATTACAAATGATTTGTGTCAAGAATAAAGAACTCTTACAGACTAGTGGTAAAAGGATAATAACCCAATAAAAATGGACAAAAGATTTGAATGAACATGTCACAAAAGAAGGTATTTTAATGGCAAAAAGGGCAATGAAGTGAGACTGAGCTTCATCCATCATAAGATAAATGCAAATTAAAACTACTAGGATGGCTAAAATTAAAAGGGCTAACAGCAGCAAGTCTTGGTGAGGATGTGGAGAATCTAGAACCTAATTTATTACTGCTAGGAATGTAAATTTGCAGAAACACGTTAGAAAAAAAGTCGGGCAGCTTCTCCTAAAGTTTATACCTTTACCCTATGTTCCAGAAATTTCATCCCTAGGTATGTACATAAAAGAAATAAAAACATACATCCACAAAAAGAATAATACAGAAATGTTTATTGCAGTTTTATTTATAATACCCCCAAAAAAACTGGGAAAAATTCAGATGCTCATCGGATAGTGAGTAGGTAAAGAAATGGTGGTATATCCATTCAGGGGAGTACTGCCTCAGCAATAAAAAGAAACAGTAGCTAGTTATAGATGTAACAATGTGGCTGTCACTCAGAAACATTAGGATGCACAAAAGAAGATAAGTAGTATATGATTCTGTTTGAAATTCCATGGCAGATAAAACTAGTCAATAGTTAACAAAAGCAGTTTAGAGGTTGTCTGGGGCTGAGGGCAGAGATGGAAGACTTTTTGGAGTGAAGGCAGTGTTCTATGTTGTAAT